AGCATCCCCAAAGCCTCAACTCGAACCGAACTGACTCGTTCCCAAAACTGGCAACTGTCTGGCCCGTCGTCTAACCCACCTGGCTCACACATACACACCGCACGACGGTTGAGAGAAGGAGCAGACAGAAGGATACGCACGCACACTGGCACAGGAACGCATTAGCTGGCGGCCTAATCCCAACGTCGTTGCCATCGCCAAAGCACTTCAAACACACAGGGGCGAAACAGGAACAAAAACAAAAGCTTAAGGACAAGGACAAGGAGTAGGAGAAGGAGCATTGCTCGAAACGTGAAACTTCTCTTCATTTGTGTCTGATGGGATTAGAGCTAAAGCCAGATAAAGGGATAAAGGATTCCCAAATAATGTCGTGCCCTCTGCTCAAGCAGCTCGGGATGAAACTTGAAAGTTTTTGGCGCCAAATTCGCATGCAAAGCAGGAAGTCCTGTCGGCTAGAGAGAGACCGGGAGAGGTAGCCGGAAAGAGAGAGAAGGAGAGACCTGGCAGGGACCGTGTCTCGTTCCCTACCCCTTTTTTTGGGTTCAGAGGCTTAGGTCGCAGGATAAGTCGCAAACTTGATGCTTTCGCCTAATGTCCTTGGGTGGTTTGTTCGCCCTCCCCCTCCCCGGAGACTGCCAGATGATGATGATGATGATGATGATTTTGTTTTCGCTTGTGGATTATAAACGCCCTTGCGACCATGCCCAGTTGCATTCGCATTAGTTGCTCTCGCTGGCGATTTTCCTAATTCCCCTAAATCCCCACTCACAGACATGAGTGCGTAGGATACACATAGACTATGGAAAGGCTATGTGTATCCTTCGGTTAAAGAGGGAAATTTGGATGCCATGTTGGGGAAAATTCAATATTAAGTGACAGGAAATAAACGGTTTAGCAGCAACATTAATTGGCACTCTGAACTCGGGCTTAACCAGACCCATCAAAGAATCCTTGTGTGCAATCTCAAGAAAGTATTTCCATCTCTTTGGTCCTTTGGTCGGTCGGTTGAGGCTTATGGCAAATCCCTGCTGCAGCTGCTGTTGCCTCAGAGTCTTATAATATTCATAATCGAACCTCCTGGTGGCAACGGGCCGGTGTTTATCTAATTACAACTTTGCCTCCAGCCTAATGCCACTTGTGTATTAATAGAAGCGCCCGAACACACACTCTCGCATGTAAATATCTGCATAAGTTCTCGGTCGCAAAACTGCTCAAAGTTAATGCAAGTGATTTATAGATGCCGTTCTTATGGAGATGCATTTCTCTATTGATAATCACAAGACACACGCCGAGTATTTATTCGATTATAAGCCATCTTTGAGAGCGTCTCAAGCCGCTCCCTATAAGTTGCCAGTGGCACGTTGCAAGTTCATGGCACGGCCACTGCGAGACTTCTGTTCGATCTGTTTCCCTTCAGTCCGACACTTCAATCCCTAAAATTTGTATCTGTATCTTAGGGTGTGTGTGTGAGGGATAAACGGTTGAACTGAAAATAGAGGTGCCAGTTGTCATAGCTACAGAGAGAGAAAAATGTGTCCTTTTAGGTCAATATGAAATGAATTTTAAGATACTTTTCATCACAATTCTTTTTTAATATTTAATTAAAATATTCTATCGAATGCCAAGTATTTCCCAGTATATTTCCCAGTGCACTCGATGACGGTGGCTTAACTCAATCAGCATCACCTGCAGCACCTGCCCTTGGGTCCTGGCAGTGTCCTTGCTGCACTTGTTAGTGTGTTGGTAGCTGGTGGCTGGATGGCAACAACCGGCTTTTGTGCTGCTGTTGTCGCTGCTCGGGCCAATCCCTTTTTGCTTATAATTCGGAAATGTTGCCTCCTGTTGCTTTTGGCATTTATTCGAATTTGTATCTCAATCTGGGCCAGTATCTGTATCCGCATCTGCATCTATGCTCGATGCTAGCACATTTGTTTGAGTTTTCGGCTAACAGACGGGGAGATGGGGTGCTGGCTGGGCTTTAGAGTTTGGGGATTGGGGATTGGATCCGGCTTAGGTGGCATCCAGTGAGTGGTATCATTCAGCTCGGCACTGGCCACTGTGCATAACGCTTAACACTTAAGCTGCTACCGGCTACAGGCTCCTTTCTGCTTCCTGCCGCCCTCCCATCCGCCACCTGCTGCCCCATCAGCATATCCTTCCATTGGTCCAGAGCTTAGCCACTTCAGGTGGGTCAGGTGGCTCCTAGCCAGTTTTGCGTGTGATTGCGAAACTTGTGCCGTACTGCCCCTCTCGCTTTAGCATCTCTTATCCTTCGGCAGGAGGAGGTTGCAATGTTTCTGTGTGGCTTGATTACCAGCAGCACTCCCCGAGATCCTGCTCCTTTGCAGCTAAAGCGAGAGCACTGAAAAGTTACTGCCCGGCTTTGCCGACACTTGTGCGTCCATCAGGGCTTATCAGGAGGAACACCCCAGCTCCCAGCTCCCAGCTTTCCAGCCACCCCACCACCTCATTATACAATCCCTCTCGGGGGCTGTAGCTCATGACATCTGCATAATAGCCGATCGAATGGGTGCCCATTTTTTGAATCCTTGAGCGCGTGCTTATGTCCACAGAGTCCTGCATTCATGGTTCGGGCTTATGACACATGCAGATGCTGCTGCTGCCGCTGCCGCCGCTGCTGTTACTCCACTTTTGGTGGCCAAAAACAACAATGATTCAATAGCAGGGTCAAGTGTGGGGGCAGGCGTGTGGGTGGGCAGGGTTCCGAATGCGTTGATCCACAAACGTGTCGTTAACTAAGGCGCAGTGATTTTCAATTGCAGAACGCGACGCTATATATGTATATTCTGCTGGCAGACTGTGTGTGTGTGTGTGTCCCTGGACGAGAGTGGGTGTGTCGGTGTGTGCATAGGCTTATAGGTGCCAAACAGTATGGCAGCTGGTGGACAAAAAGTGAGGGGGCAGGGACAGGAGACAGGAGGGGGCAGCATGCATATTGACAAGTGCAGCCGGGTGGGGATTTATTAAGGCTAACGTATGAAAATGTTGCATACTAAACTCTGCATAAATCGAAGCGAGGCACCAGAATCAAAAGCATAGGGCATAAAAATAGCCCCAAAATGAAAAGCCCAGCTGTTGGCAGGGGGCCGGGGGGCCGGGGGGCAGGGGGCAGGCGGCAGGATAAATATCGTGTTGCGTCGCTGAGCAGCTTAGGCACAATAAACACGCAAACGCACCAATACACACTCTGGGAATATGCACAACAAAACGCCATGAAACAAAACAGATTTACATATGAACTCACAAATACAGAGCCAAAAATGGCAATGTTAAATGACAATAATAACAACACCAATAACAACAATAACAACAACAACAAATAATGACAACAATAAGCAAACCAAACTGCACTGAGCCCCCATCCATAGGTTGGTAGGTTTGGTTGGTGGGGCAGGATTCCGTGCTCGTTCGATCTCAAACCATCCGATTTGGAAAACCCCCTCTTTGTTGTGCAAATCCTCAAAATATGCTACAAAGCACATTACATAGATACGCACTCACACACTGGAACACACGCAACAGAGACATTCACAAATTCACAACAAAATTCAAATCAAATCCCTACTCGTCGTCTGCTCCCAGGGACTTGATTTAAGCTTGAGCCCGAGTTTTAGTTTTCTACTGAAATTTTTGGGGGGAAGCTTAAAGTATTAATGGCATTGCGAAAGGACCTTTAATATTTACTAACGAGAGACAGTCGCCGAGACAGTCAATTGTTTTCCACAACTATTGTCGCAAGCTAAAGCCACAAAGTGGCCCCGACATCCGCAGTGGGTTTCAGCACTGCCACCTGTTGATGCGTTGACGGGTCACACGTGCTCTAACTTCCAGCCACACACACATCCTTACAGATTGCGTATACGCAGTGAGTGCCCAGGAGAAACGAGAAACAGAAGCCAGAGCAAACACAAGCGAAGCACGCAGGATGCAAGGCCCCTGCCCGGCTGCCACCCCTCTAGATGTGGCGCCACAAGTGTGTTCATTTGACGCCCATCCCTCCCCAGCCCTCACCCCAGGTCGCCCACCTAGGTATTCTAACGAGAAACAGCACCAGAAGCAGAAGCAGTATGTTTGTTTGCACACAGACTTGCTGTCGCAGGAAACAGACCCAGGAGACGGCACACACAAAATAAACGTTATGAATGCTTCATATGCTTAATCCAGGGGATTTCGATGCATATACGAGTGTTGTGTATCTGTAGCTATAGCTCTAGCCATCTGTATCTGTATCTGTATCTGAATGGGAATGTAGTGACGGAAGTACCTCCGTGCTCTCGAGCTGATATTGTTGGTATGCAAAAGGCTTCACTGTTTCCATTTATATCCGTCGCCCGGCCACACACCGACACCCACATCCATGACTGAGGCTGAATGGATGCATTTGCAACGCAGTGGCCGATGTGGCACAGGTTTACTTCTGGCCATGGCTAAACTATTGATGAACCAAACAAGATTACCACGGCCACTGCTGTTTCAAGTGTGTGTCCGTGTGTGTTTGTATCTGTATCTGTGTGGATGTGAGTGTGTGTGTCTGTATGCTATCTGTGGGATACGTGCTTAATGCCTTGTGAGCAAATCAAATGAACTTTTCATGGATTAAGCCGGCTGAGACTGCGTTGGGGCAAAAGGAAACGGCCGAGGCCGAGGCATTTCCATTTGCCGTCAGCTGCTGTTGCCCTGATTAAAGTTGGGTCTTTAAAGCCTTTCGATAACGGCATAAATAATCTCTTCTAATTACAAGACTTGATACAAAAAACACAATTTTCATGGAATTTGTAAGTTCGTCGACGTTTTCTCGAAAAATCCTTTGCAGTTATTGTGTCCTAATTGCATTTCCTGTCATTCCTCTCTCCTCTCAAATATCACACATGCACTTATTCCGGGGATTAAGAATAATAGTTTATTCCATTAATAATCCCCTACCGACTTATGAACTAATAATTTATATTTTTTGAATAATTAAGGTTTCCTTTACTCACGATTTACTTTGCTGACGTCAAACTCCCGTCGCGAGTCCAGGGCCGGATGGCTCAGCAGCTTCTCCGCCTGCTGCTGGGCCTGCTGCACGCCCACGGCCATCCCCAGGGCGGCGGGTGGCAGGCACGAGATGCTGCCTCGCTCCCCACGCTCCTCCCTCTCGCGCTCCCGTTCCCTTTCGCGATCGCTCTTGGGGGTGGCGTTCTGACTAGAAGAGGCTGTCGAGGAGGAGAGCGCATTTCCCTCGGAGTTCTGGCTGGGATGGCTGGCGGGGGGAGAGCCCTCGGAGGACCTTCGGCCACCCGCTTCTCCACCTGGTCCTCCGCCACCACCTCCTCCGCCTGGCTGCTGTTGCTGCTGGTGATGGTGGAGCTGCTGTTGCTGGTGGTGCTGCTGCTGCATTTGCAGCTGGGTGAGCTTCTCCTGGACGCCCTGCAATGAGGAGCGTCGGTGCTGCTCCTCGCTGGCCACGCCCACGCCGACCACACTATGGGGCGGTGATAGGGAGTGCTCCTTTTTGACGGCCAAGTCCGCTAGGCTGGCGGCTGCCGAGGCGCCCGAGGCAGGTGATTTGGCATTGGCGGCGGCCACAACGGCGGCCGCGTTGGCAGCCCGCGTCAAAGCCAGGGCCTGACTCTGAAAGTACAAAGAAACCGAACCGAAAATGAAAACACTGTGAATGGCAATGGGGAATGGGGAGTATGTGGTCGGGGTGGAGCTATGTGGAGATAGAGCCCAAGATTTCCCATTTGTCGCTTGTTTGCTCGGCTAAATGATCGAGTGAAATTTCCACTTCATTCGATCGATCGCGCTCGAAATAGAAAACAACCCAAATTCGCTTTATTGATTAAGTCAACAATGGCCATGAGAATCGTCTCAGCCCTGACAGGCGTTGATTTCTATTGATTTGTGAGCTCGGTGCCCGTAGCCCGGACTCCGGAGCTATGGAGCAGCGGGCCAGTGTTTGCTTTCTATAATTTAGCAAGTAATTTGCTGCACAAATCGTGGCGAATCACGAAATTGTCTTTAATGATGCAAAGATCTTCGGCTGGAGCTCGAGATCGTTGTCGAAGCGTAACTAAATTAATGTGGCTCTCGTCTCCAGTCCATTAAAGAGCTGAAAGCTCTTTCACAACTCCCCACACACATGTGTGTCCGAGGGAGGGCACCACCGCGGCAATTGATGATGACTCCGACTCGGACTTGGAATCTAACAAAAAAAAAAAGAGCTAAGAAAAAAATAGCCCAGAGAATTGGTCTTTGGAGCCGAAAAAGCGAAATCAGCAATGGCACTCTGTCCATCAGAAGTGACCGACTTCCGAGGCATTGAATGCCACAGCTTAGTGGCTTTAATTGATTATTCTATATATTTGATTTGAAGGGAGCCTTTTGGTTAACAAAGTGACTTGACCCCTCTGATGATATAGGGTATATTAAACCATCTAAATCCCCTCGAACTAACTCCCCTGTGAACCAATCTTTTTTCCCATCATCGATCCCGAATTGACCCTAATAATTATAGCGTCTCGGCTTTGGCTACCGTTTTTACCGTTTATACTGGCTGGGCACGCATGGAATTCCAGAGTCGATACATCTAACATACGGGTCTCTTCATTTTTTCCGTGGTATTCCCGAAAAAAAATTATGGCATTGGCATTCGCTTTGGGTTTTTAGCTTTTTGGCGCTGATCGTGCGGATAAACTTAAATCGAAGCCGAGCATCGAGATTGTGATCCTCGACGGCCCAGGCCCATGCCCATGCCCATGCCCATGCCCAGTCTCAGGTCGATCGTCGCCTCTGGCTAGTTTGTCAAATGAGGGCATAAAAACAGCGGCATATCCTTTAACCGAAAAACATGTTCAGAAACTTAATAAGAAGTCAGAAGCAAGCAAGGCTGAAGGTATCCCTGGGACCTGCAGAACTGCAACGGCGTCTCTGCTTTCCACAGTAGCCACATCGAGTTAGCGATCAGCGACAAGCAGCAATCGATCTTGTGTTATAATCATCGCCGGCTCCCCACCTTCTTCCTCCCGGCCATCAGCGGCGATTTAGGCCTGCAAAAATTCATTTACGCTTTAATCAATTTCATTCACTATGCAGAAGCCGGAGCAGCAGCAGGAAAGCCACAGATATGGGTCTGCACACAGAAAAGTGAACAAGTACCATTACTTTTCAAAGTATTTATATTTTTGAAAGACTCTCAGTATTTCTTTCAGTGCTCAGATGGTTGAAGAAGTAGCAGAAGACAGGGCAAACATCGCCTAAGGCCACCAGCCGACAATTTTAGCTTACATTGATCTCGTCCTGCCTGCCATCCCCCTGGCCGTCCATCTGAAAGCTGCTACTCGGCTTCTGTTCCTGGCCACATGTCAAGAAATTGACGAAAATTCGATCAAAATTTTAATTGATCGCCCTGCAGTGATTTGGGTTCCCGAAAAATTGATCCCAGACCGCCAGCCCCGCACCGTCGCCTCGTAACATTTTCTGAAACATATACATATTCTTTGCGCTGGCACTTGCCGTAATTTTCGGTTGGCCAAAAAGCGAAAAAGACTGAAGAGCAAACGATCGACCGACGACCGACTCGTGTTGTGATTATGTTAATAGAGGTGCTCCCATTCACTCCCCTTCGACTCCAGACTCCTCACTCCGGACTCTGGATTCCTGTTTCCGATTCCAGCCCGAGGGGGAGGCCGGCGCTCGCCTCTGCCGGAAACTGAACAGCCAGCGGGCATAAATTGCAAAATAATCAAACATTTCAAGGGCCTGCCACCAAATTCATGGCATTAGGACTGATTGAAGAATGCGAGAAATTGCTGATCCTCCAGAATGAGTCATCAGGCGAAGGTTTATGGCAATGGTTACACAAGTAACTCCAAAGAACCCTCCCAAGAACCTTGAGATGTATTTCAGGCGAAGACGAGGTGCCTCAAGTAATCCATTCCCGGTCACACATCACACCGTTCCCCCCAGCTGCATATTAATAACTCTTACACCCATTAATCAATAGGGTTCTTCTCTGGTCTCTGATCTACCTCTGATCTGATCATCCTCGCTGAATGCTACCAATCAAGATCCCCCCAGCCGGGCTTTCCCTTTTGGCCATTAAGCTGAACGTTATAATATTAACCTGTCAAAGGCCATAATTGACAACGATTAAGTTTGTCTTTTGTCTCGCGAAAATTTACATTTTTATGGTTCAATAAAATAAATCAAAGTGGGGGGAAAAAACCCGAGCCAGAGCCCGAACCCTGAAAAGGCAGATGATAAAAAGAAAAAAAGCTGAACCTTAGCATCGAACACAGTGGCAGCGAAAAGTAATTGCAGCACATAATAATCTCGCATTTAATAATCCTCATTAAAGCGCAAAATCACGTCGGTCCGCTGGCGGAGAAGCCCCTGGGAGGATGAGGAACAGGAACATCCTGATAGACAGTTTACACTAACAAATATCACCACCTTGGCGAGCGGGGTCCACCTCGGATCTGCACAAAATTAGAGGCCCTGCTCCTTTTTTTTCGTACCATCTCCGCAAATGCCAGAACAAGAACAACGAGCTTCTGTTCTGCCCTTAAAGACAGTCCCCAAAAATATGCAAGGGGCTGCCAAAAAAAAAAAAAAACGAGGAAATCCGGGCAAGAGGGGGACCCCGATGGAGCAAGGAAGGGGAGTGGCAGCGATGCGCATCAATCGATGATATGATGAGCTGACGTTTCGGGTTGACGTTTGCTTGTCGTCAATACGTCGCCTAATAACACATCGCAACAGGTAGTCCCCGGACATCAACGGACAGAACCTCCAGCGAACGGACAGACCAGTCGGGGATACTGATTGCGACACAGATACAGGAGCAACCTGGCCAGGCCTGGCTGGCCTGGCCTGGCAAAAGGAGTCTCTTTTTGGGGGCTTGATGGAATTTCATCAATTGCATGAAAAATATGAAATTAGTTTGGACCCATCGTCCAAAAAGCATCCGTCCAAAAACCGAAAGTCCAAACCGAACTCTTGGCAGTCCGGGGCTACTGGATTTTTAATGTGTTTTAATCATCGACTACACGGGGATGGATGGAGGTGAGCCGCGTCTCTCTCCAGCCACTCCTTGTTGCGGGCTAAATGGTTTTTGCGCCCTGATCCTGTGCCACTGATGTATGGCACATTCCACCCGGGCTATAAATCGTGGTTGCGCCTGGCACCATGGCGCTGTCCTGTCCTTAGCCAAAATATCATTTGATTCCTGTTCGAGGCATTAATTGTTTTTGCTCGAGTGTTGCGTGATGGGAATGACTGATCAACTGTCCGGAGGATTGTGTCTCAGATTTTGGTGAGAATGAGAGGAAAATGTGTCGTCTGATATTTTTGGTGGGAATTTAGAGACTTGGGGATAAGCTTGAGGGATGGGAGCTTCGTTCTTCCACTGATCTCGACCATGTCACTGGCCTTGTTCTTGTCATGTTTGCTGTCAGTCTGCTGGCTTTGGCTGGTTTATGCAAGTGTTGATCACTGGAGATCCAAGATCGAAGATCGAGGATCGTCTTCGGCCTGCTATCTTAATACTGTTCGCAATCGAGACATTGACATATCCCCGCTGTCTGAGATTATGCCCGACTGGTCTGGCTTCTTTTTTTGTGTGTGTGTATCGGGAGGAGCCAACCTCGCTCCGAGGCATTACCATTTCCATTGGCCGAGACACTGGCGTTTTTTTCTGGCCGTACGATTGGGTGTTTGCCAGCGTTTTTATGCTTTTTGCCGGACCGGGACCGGGGCCGGGCCCCTGTTATTAATTATCATCGTCAGCGGGAGGTGATCAGCGTTCAGTATTGAGCATCCAGCGATCAGCGATCAGAGATCTTCGGGACTGCGTGTTCGTCAAATTCCCTAGCGAACGCAAACATTTGGAATTCGGCGCGTAGAAATATCATTTTCGTGTCTCCTCGCTCGTGATTTCTCTCTGGTTTTGTCTGCTTTTTCGTAATTTGTATGAGATTTTTGGAATATTCCCTGACTTTTGCCATTTATGTGTGTCCCAGTCTGTCTGCTCGCATGCCTTGTGTCCTTAACGAAATTGTGATTAAGTGTTTCAATATCGAAGTGACGAAAGGTAGCAAGAGCACCCGGCCGTCCGGCCAGTTTGGAATTCAACAGACATGGCCAGCAACTTCCTTCAACGATGGCGAACATCGTTCGGGATCGTAACGTGCAAAATAATTAAAAATCAGCGAACGTTCTGCTAAAGAGTAGCAATCCCCTAACCTCGATCTCTGTCCCTGCCCCTGTCCCGGTTCCCGTCCGTGAAAGATCGACGCCCGCATCAAGTTGGCCGAGTGCGAAAAAACGCCATTTAAAGATGCCACAAAGCCGCAGATAAGCAGAGACAAAATGCGGGAAAGGGACGGCCAGAAAGTGCTGACAAACGGGCCAAAACCGGTTGACAAAATACACTCGACTTGGTATGCGATCAGTTTGAGCGATAGCCAAGATCCAGACTCCGACTCAGACGATCGACGATCAGCGATCGCGGAAGAATTTCTGGCCAAATTACGAGCCCGTCCAACAGCTACCCAGCTACGCAACTTAACCCAACCGATCCACCAAGCCAGCAAGACAGCCAGTCAGCCTGCCAGCCAGCGACATTTAAT